GCTGCTGCGCCTTCCGACACCAGTGCTGGTGCGGCGCTGAAGGCGCTGACTACGATGCCAACGGCGAGGGCGTCTGCGACACGCCGTGCGGCGGCAACGACGACGAGATCTGCGGAGGTTTTTACGCCATGTCGGTCTACGAGAACGCGAAAATCGACGATCCCTCCTACCTCGGGTGCTACTCTGACCCGGCCGACAGCCGCATGTTCGTGCAGGATATCTCCTCTGACGCAATGACCGCGGAGGTGAGCAACCGACCGGGTTGTTTTCGAAGGCTGCTGTGTGGTATAGCGAGTGCCTCTCATTTGAATCTCGGTTCGTGTTTCTCGCGACTATGTTTTGTTATGTTTTACTTGGTTTGGTTAGGTAAGTTGGTGAACGCGGCAGAAGCCTCCTGGTCTTTGTACTCGATGTAAGGAAGAGGACGCGCGACACCATGGTCTTGTTCATGTGAAGACAGCATTGATTCGACTACGCATTTGTCCGTTCCGGGATACACTGGACTTTACGTCACCTCTTGAAATGTTGGTTGTCTTGTGGTGTGTCGGCATCGCGTAAAGAATCCAATGATCACGGAACCTTGGCGAAACCAACACGCCGCTAACTTTACCTCGCAATTCACGCGTCCACGTACGCGTCGCGGTGCCCTTCCCTTACCCGGCCATCAACCTCGTTGGGCACACGCCCTGGGACGGACGACGACAGATCTGCTCAGAGGCCTGCGCCGGCTCGGCATACTACGGAACGCAGTACTCGGTTGAGGTAAGACCTTGTGCAGCGTGTTGTTGTGTGAGAATCTCGTGTTGTTGTGTGAGAATCTCGTGTTGTTGTGTGAGAATCTCGTGTTGTTGTGTGAGAATCTCGTGTTGTTGTGTGAGAATCTCGTGTTGTTGTGTGAGAATCTCGTGTTGTTGTGTGAGAATCTCGTGTTGTTGTGTGAGAATCTCGTGTTGTTGTGTGAGAATCTCGTGTTGTTGTGTGAGAATCTCGTGTTGTTGTGTGAGAATCTCGTGTTGTTGTGTGAGAATCTCGTGTTGTGAAGCCCTGCAGGAGAATTATTGACATGTGGTGGTCGGTGGTCATGCGGTGTGGTCAACAGTTCCGTTCCCGTAGGCACGATTCCAAACGACCGTAATATTTTGCTGTGGTTTGGAATAGCTTGATTCGCAGTATATGCGCCTGACGTCAACAAAAAGGTAAAAGTGGAAACGTTCATCGTGGTCTAGCTGTGCCAACACGGCGATGTTTTCTGGGGGAAACTCGCTGTTGAATGATGTAAAAGATCTTGTCCTGCCACAACCTGGCCGGGAGTCCCAGATAACCAAACGACACACTATTTTTCTCCCGTGTCCAGACTTGTCATACCGTCACGCCGAGCTGAGTTTTTTGTCCTTCGGACACCAATTCTCAGTCGCTGTATTTATCCGTGCGACAGCGATGACACTAGCTGAATGTGATCAGAACGCCTCGGGGAATACATACACCAAGCACACAGACTTTGCCTACCCATGACTTGGTGATGCATTCGTGGCAACATTCGAACCACACCTGCATTATCGTCTTCCGCCGTCCTCTATTTCAAGTATCCTCTATGCGAGAAGGCGGAATCGTAATCAAGTCGTCGAGACGGGAAGATGCGACCCTTTTTACCGGTCATAACGTTGCCGCTAGTTCCGCCGCGCCCATCCCCACTGATCTCACTCCATCGACAAGCTGCACCACATGGGCATCATCAACACCACGGCGAAACCTCCTCCATTCTAATTGTTCTAACTATTCCCCTCCTGTACACTAAACCACCTGGGACAACAGTGCTGGTGTGGCGCCGAAGGCGCTGACTACGATGCCAACGGCGAAGGCATCTGCGACATTCCCTGCAGCGGCGACGTCAACGAGATCTGCGGAGGATTCTACGCCATGTCGGTCTACGAGAACGCGGACGACGGAGTACCCAACGAGTTCTCGTGCTCCGGCGACGCCGGAGTGTCGTTCGGCACGTCCTGCTGCGAAGCCGACTGCGGTACTTGCGGAGGCACGGGTTGCAGCATGCGCGGCTCCGGCGCCGCTTCGTGCTGCACCTCGAGCATCCAGGCCGCCGGCACCCTTTGCTCCGACTCCGGGGCCGCCCCGTGCATCCTTTAAGTGTCTGCGCTCGCTGCTAGGTGAGCCCCGCCCCCGTCCCCGTGTGGGTTTGAAGCACGTGAGTTTTCGACGAACACCGTTGGAAAAGGCAATTGGGTCCGCACCGGATGCATCAGGTGTTAGTGCCGCGTGAGTGATTTTCGAAGTGATAAATTTGTTCTTGCGAGTCCGTGGGTGCGAAGGTTTAGGTGTTGCATTTTCTCTCGTGGCAAGATCCCTCGATCACACCACAGAGGTTCGTTGGCGACCTATCGACCATGCCTTTCTTTGCCCCTTGTTGGCGAACTGCTAGTCGTCATAAAATGCACATCGTTTCTTCTCTAGTTTCGTGCCCAAGACTGTCGAGTAATTTCTGGTGTAGATCGACGAACCGCTTTTTTTGCTGTGGACTATCCTTGGTTGTCACTGCTTCCTTCCTGGCCACGGACGTTTTCACCGCTACCTTGCCTGGACCGTTGGTTTGTGTCGACAGATGTTTCGCCGCGTTACGCACATCTCGCCCGTCACGCGTTGCCGACCAACAAGGCGATGGTATCGCTTTTTCTGCACGACAATCGGTGTCGTTTCAAGCCCTCTTTTAAGACAGGTTAGATTGGGCTAATTCGATCAATATCCTTCAGTAGAGGTTTCGATGGACTTACCCACAAACAACGTGTGGGTTACAGTCGGGTTAGGGTTATTGACCCGGGACTTGTACTGATAGCTTGTATGGAATAGCGACGAGAGACTGCCAACATGTACCTGGGTGACGGAACGTTCGCAGAGCAAGGGCATTTAGAGAGAGAGCCCCGAAGGCACGGAAGAGTAGGAGGGGAGATCGCTAGGCAGGGAAATAACTATACGCCGCCACGATAGAGGTATCCTATGTATGTGGTAGTATGCATATTGTCGTGGGCTCAGCAAATCCGGTCTGAGCCGCCGCTTGGTTTTGCGTATGATAGTCAACGCGAAACGCCGCCGGGGACCTCAGCTCAGCAAAACATGCCGTCTAAATCGTTCGTTTGTGTTTGCCTAGCCCAGTCGACAAAGTTGCTCTCAACAGACTCTGACGAGAGGCCTGTTCGGTTTCATGAATCTCTTGCATCTTGTGTCCATTCGCCGGAAAGCACACACCTTGAAAGGCTTGCTCCGTTGTTTCCAGCCGCAACGGAGTTGTCTGAAAAAATTTCGTTAGTGGAGGATTGTTGTGCGGTCTGCGTTGTTTTGGGGGACACGCAGGGTAGCCACGGTAGACGCGACTACAAGCTACCGTAGCCATACTGGATGGAAGGAACGCCATGCGAATCGTTTCTGCCGGATCATGAAGAAAGTTGTCGGTTAGAAGTAGAACTTGACGCAATGACGACATCCATCGTGCACCAAGAGATGGATTTGTACTGTAGTAATCGCATCTTGATGACACGAGAGGGTGCCATCCTCCTGTGCGCACCGCATAAATGATGGACGCGATGATTCACGGGGGTTGTTATGGTGATCGGGGATTCTATAATGTATTCGGGTTGGACTAGTCCGCACTCTGGTTTGACGCTCGAATTTTTTTGGAATATTCAGACGTTTGCTTAGAAAGGGTTGTTCCGGCATCTAGTCCACATATGTATGTACGCATACACGCCCGCCCTGGGATTTTTTACCGAATCCGTTTGTGTCCGCACCAAAAGCCATCATTCTTCATCGCATGCATGTGTACGGCACCACTCAATCATCTTCATGGCGAAGGTGTTCTGCGACCCGCGGTATGTTTGTGTTGTCCGCAAACAAGGGCGACCGGCGGCGCGGTCGACGAAGTCGGCCCAAGGCCACCCGATCGATCGACCCTACCCAACCCCACCCAACGGTGACGAATGACGAAGCGACGGAAGCGCTATCGATGGGGGCGACCCAACCTCAACCCAACCCAAACCCAAACCCAAACAAACGACAAGAAGACAGGAAGGAACTGACGGGGCTGAGAAAAGCCTACGACGACCGGAACAAGGTCGAAACCGAAAAATGGAAAACATGAAGAAAGTGATAAATCCAGGACACCAGGGTGGTCGGAACGAAAAAAAGACCGGTATCGAAAAAAAATATAAATGAAACAGGTAAGATACGCTACTCACGCAGTTATGGGAGCGTAGAAGCGACAACAGTGGGGGCGTAACATTCTACAGGTCGTGACCAAACGCTAAGGTACTTGGAATGAGGCAACGAATCAGCCCCAACATCACCACGCGACATGTCGATGTTGCGAATTTTCTGGCGCTGCCGCTGTGAACTAGGAGGCACGAGGATCCGGAGACGACGGTTTCGGCGGTGGAGTAGCAATAGTCAGGAAGGCCGAATTTTACAGGTCCAGGATCGTCCAAAAACCGGATTATGTAGAAGTCGGGCGGTAAAGGTGACCCAGTAATCTTGCCCAAACAGAATGCATCTCGCGCTTTGTACCAGAAGAAGGTGCTTGCAGGTAGCGGATTATTGGCGAAGCGACGGTCCCATGTTGAACGAGAGACGAGCGAATAGCCCGAAGGCAAGGCTCGCTCTCCTCTAGTGCGCGCTATTTCGCGGTGTTGATCAGGCGAACCCGTCCAGTACTGGAGGGTGTGTGGCCTGGAGGGCTGGAGATCCATGGTCCGAAGACAACACAACATGCGGAACACTCGGCACAGGTGGTACAAACGCCGAGGGGGGGGTTGGGTTCGAAAACCCAAGGTTCTGCACGATTTATTTCTAATTCTACAGCATGGTGAGCGGTAGAAAAAACAGGGGGTGCAGCCGTTTCCGAGGAAACGGGGAGGGCCGAAGCCGGGGGAAGGTTCGAAAACGCAACACGAGTTTCCGAAGGAACGGGGGCGGCCGAAGCCGGAGGAACACAACTATCACGCAAGAAGAAACGAGCATCCGAAGTCGCGTCCACAAGGGACGGAACTACTTGCCCGGCCCGGCTTGCGAGACAAGCTGGTGTCCGATCCCGACCCGGTCCCGCTCTTGCCCTTGGAGCCACGGGCGCCATTCATGCTGCGTTTGGCCACCTTCCGCTCGCGACTCCCTCCCACGGAGGAAGATGACGGCTCCGGGGGCCGACGCGATGCTCCGGCCGAGCTCCAGTCAGACTCCTCTCCCGAACTGCCAGGACCACTCTCCCGACTCGAGTGTGATGCTTGCGCCTTCTTGACACGGCCTGGCGTTGGCTGCTGAAACCCACCGGAGGCCTCCGAAGACGGCCCGCTGCAGCCAGGGTACACCACAGGAGCAGTGGCGTGGGCGTTGGCCTTGCGCATCCCAGCGAGAAACGGCCGGCCAAGTCCCAACGATCCGGGCGGGAGGTGTTGGCCACGTCCACCGCCTCCTGGATGGTGACGACCGCCGGCAAGGCGATGGCCACTTCCGTGGCCAGATCCCTGACCGATGTTCTATCTGCAGGGAGGAAGTTGAACTGGTGATACTGTGCAACATCAGCCAGTTCGGCCGGGGTGAACCGGAAGTCGCCGGACTCGAAGGTGACGGAGCCTTACTGCGACGACGAGGAGCGGGTGATCGGGCTGGACGAAGCAGTAGCCGCGTACGTGCGGGACGAGGCGGTACAGGTAGACAACGCGGACGCAGCTCTCGCGCCGGCTCCCGAGACGCGGGTCGACCGCTCCGCACGTTCCCGAAAGTCCTTCTCATGTCTTTTGTCGGCGTTACGGCCAGCTTCCACAAGGGCGTCCTCCTGGCGCCGGTCAATAGTCAGGGTAGCAGCAAGCTGACTCCGCTGGCGGTCGTACTCTTTGTGGAGGGTCTCATGGTCTAGGATAGCCTTGGCGCTCTTGGCTCTCTTAGACCGCAGGATCTTGAGCTCCTCCTCGCGGACGGAGACTTCTTGACGAAATTCCATGTCGGTGAGGTCGTCCTGCGCTTGTAGGGCGGCCGCTCGATCGGCGTCGACGGCCGCGCCGCTCGCCAGGCGAACGGCGTCCGTCCAGTCGGTCGAACGCGCCTCCGCAGACATGACATCCCATAGTGCCACGGGGAGCCACAGCGGGTAGGAGAGGGGTGGTGTACCCGTGGCCGTAGCCGTGGCGAAGCCGGGGCCGAAGCCGGGGGTGCTGCCGAAGCAGCGTTGGTGGCCGAAGCGAAGGTGCCGCCGGAGGAAGCACGAGCGGGACAGGCTCGGCCTGCCTGCCGGTGATGGCAGACTTCGCTCCGCCGCCGGTGGTCGAAGCCCGAAGCTCCGGAGTCGATAGCCCAGCAGAAGACGTCGTCTCGGGCTTGACGGTAAGAGTCGTGGCCACCATCGTTATACGGCGAAGGATGTCGTAGAGGTGGCGGTCGCGGCGCTCTGCGATTTCAAGACGAAAGAATGCATCAGTCGTAGCAGCACGTTCATGCGACGAGGAGAGCATGGGAGGGGGTGGGAGCACCGCGTTAGAAACAATGAGAGGTGCAGCTGTAGAGGGCTGTGTGGAAACAACCGAAGTCGCAGCTAGAGTTGCCGAAGCAGACGCTAGTGTTAAGGAGTGTTGCTGTACGGCACAGATAGAGTACACTGTCGGTGTAGATCATGATGGGGGACGTCAGTAGGTATA